TTCAAAAAAGGTTTCAGAGAGAAGACAGGCTTGAAAAATAACTAGGATTTGCCAGAGGGCCAAAGAGAAAAATGTATTTGAGACACATATATAAGGATTTAGAGACATCATATGATAAATGTGGTATCTACTGAAAGTTGCCAAGTAGTTCAGGATGATTGGAATGATTGGAGAATGGTATATGATTGGATGGGTATAGGAGATAAGTCTCCAAAGATAGGCAGGAAATTTAAAGTCATATTTTGTGGGAATAGTTTCTAGTAAGGATATAAAAGTGTAATGTCTTTTGTGTTTACTGCAGAGACAGGAATAGACACCTCATGAAAGTCCAGGGAGAAGACAAAACCATAACTTTCTCCAGTAACCAAGGATGAAAAGTATACACATGGAGAGAGTGTACTGAAGGACAGAAGCTCTAATGGTACAGTGCCTAAGGCATTTGACTATTAACCATAAGGTTGGTGGTTCAAAAACCCACCAGCCACTCTATGGAAGGAAGATAGGGAAATCTACTTCTTTAAAGATTTACTGCCTTGGGGTAGCTATGAGAGTCAAATTGGATTCAATGGCAGGGAGTTTTGTTTTTTTTTTTAAATTTTCTGGTTAGCTAGATCAAGAGCAGTGGTTGATGTGGTTCGGATCAATCTGTTGTTGTTGTTATGTGCTGTTGAGTCAGCCCAGACTCACAGTGACCCCTCTTTGGGTTTCTGAGTTAGTATCACTATGGAAGTAGATTGCCCAACCTTCCTTCCAGGGAGTGACTGGTGGGTATGAACTGCCAGCCTTCTGGTTAGCAGTCAAGTGCTTTAGGCACTTTACTACCAGAGCTCCTGTGGGTCAATCTAAGAAGTATAAATAAGAAGGTTAAGGTTAATCAAACTAATAGGAACAGAAGGATTTGTTTAGTATTACACTTAAAACCTTGGTCATCAAAATATTGTAAGCTAGTATACCCTTTGACCCAATAATTCATCTTCAATTTTTTTTTAATCTAAAAATAAAAAAAACAATTATGAATGTACATTTTTTTTAACTATAAAGATATCCATCATAATGTCTATAACTAAAGATTAGGAAAAAAAGTCTGAAAATAAAAGAATTGTTAAAATTAATTATATAAATCCTTGGGTAGCACAAATGGTTTGTTCTGGGCTGCTAACCTGAAGATTGGTGGTATGAATCCATCCATTGATGCCATGAAAGAAAGGCGTGGTGATCTACTTCCAATAAGATTATAGCTAAGAAAACCCTATGGAGCACTTCTACTCTGCAACATACGGTGTGGCCATGAATTGGAACTTACTCAACAGCAGTAGGTCTTTTTGTTGTGGTGGTTTAAATAAATTATGGAAAACTCAAATGTCTTAAGCTGAGTTTTCTAGAAAAGCAAAACAAGTGAAGCTGAGAGAGTGAAAGAGAACTTTATCTTAGGGAAATGGCTCACACAGTTGTAGAGGCTGGCAAGTTCCAAGTTCATGGGTCAAACAAATTGGAGGTGTCTCCTAATTCACACAGCTGCAAGGGCTGACTTAAAATCAACAGGCATTGAAACAGGCTACTGGCTCATAGAATGATGAATCCAAGATTGGTAGGTAAAATGGCAGATTGTTTGTTGGCTTACAGGCTGCAAATGCAACAATCCCAAGATTGGCAGCCAACATGGCAGGCCACTGATTCAGCTCCAGGAGCTAGAGGATGATGAGCTGGATGCAGGATCCAGATCCAGCAAAAAGCCAGAGAATTTTCCCAGGATGTCCATATACATTTTGGAAGCAGGTCACACCCTGAGGAAACTCCTTTTCAACTAGTTGGCTGCTCATAGCATATCTCATCATAGAGGTGATTGCATTACATCAGATCTCATCATAGGGATGACTACAGCACAACTGCTTAAACCACTTAGAATCACATCCAGCCAAGTTGGACACAACCTTAACTATCACACCATACAATAGAATATAGGGTAGTCAAACATGATGGAAGCTTGTTTTGTGTACAGGAAAAGATATGCACTATAAAGTTATTAGAGAGGTGTGGTGGCATAGTGGTTAAATAATCTGGGTGCTAACCAAAAGTGTGGTGATTAAAACCCACCACCCACTCTGTGGGAGATTTACAGTCTCATTTCTTAAACACTTACAGCCTTGAAACCCTCAGGAGCAGTTCTACTCCATCCTATAGGGTCTCTATGAGTTGGAATTGGAGTTGGAATAAAGTTATTGTGGAAAAAATTAGATACTTGCATGTTGTTATTAGGTGCCACTGAGTTGGTCTGACTCACAGGGACCCTATATAACAAAATAAAACACTGCTGGTCCTGCGTCATCCTCACATTTGTTACTACGTTTGAGCCCATTCTTTCAGTCACTGTGTCAATCCACCTTGTTGAGGGTCTTCCTCTTTTTCATTGACCCTCTACTTTACCAACAGTAATGTCCTTCTCCATGAATGTAAATCTTGCTATCCTTACTTCCAAGGAGCATTCTGGGTGTACTTCTTCCAAAACAGATTTGTCCATTCCTCTAACAGTCCATGGTATATTCAATATTCTTGGCCAGAACCATAATTCAAATGCATCAATACTTCTATGGTCTTCCTTATTCATTACCTGGCTTTAGCTTGCCTATGAGGTGAATGAAAATACCATGGCTTGGGTCAGGTGTACCTTAGACCTCAAATTGACCTTTTTTTCTTTTTTGTGACATTTTAGGGTAATCTTTTGCAGCAGATATGCCCAATGTTTTATGTTGTTTGATTTCTTGGCTGCTGCTTCTGTGGGCATTGATTTTGGATCTGAGTAAAATGAAATCCTTGACAACTGTAATCTTTTCTCTGTTAATCATGATGTTGCTTATTGGTCCATTTGTGAGGATTGTTGTTTTCTTTATATTGAGGTATAATCCATACTTTGATCTTCATCAGTAAATGCTTCAAGTCATTTTCACTTTCAGCAAGCACGGTTATGTCATCTGCATAATTGTAGATTGTTAATGAGTCTTTCTCCAATCCTGATGACATGTTCTACTTCAGACAGTGCAGTTTCTCAGGTGATTTGCACAGCTTGCAGATTTAATAAGTATGATGAAAGATACCACCCTGATGCACACTTTTCTTGATTGTAAACCATTCAGTATTCCCTTGCTCTGTTTGAATGATGGCCTCTCGGTCTATGTACAGATTTTACATGAGGACAATTAAATATTTTGGAATCCCATTCTTCACATGATGTCCACAATTGACTATGATCCACACAATTGAAAGTGTTTACATTGTCAATAAAGCATTTATTATTGATCATGGTAAACATCTTTCTGGTATTCTCTGCTCCCAGCAAAGATCCATTTGACATCAACAGTGATATCCCTCGTTCCATCTTGAATTTCTGGCACATCTGTGCAACTTTTTTTTTAATTATCTTCAGCAAAATTTACTTGTCTGTGATATCAATGGTATTGTTCAATAATTCTTGCATTCTGTTGGATCATCCTTCTTGTTATAATTTATTCCTATGTCGTGCCTAAGACATTTGACTGCTAACCAGAAGGCTGGTGGTTCAAACCCACCAGCCATTTCTCAGAAGGAAGATTGGGCAATCTACATAGAGATACTACCTCAGAAACCCAAGGAGGGTCACTATGAGTTGGAATCGACCCAATGGCAGTGAGTGAGAATGACTGTATGATATCCATAAAAGTTTCTAAATAGACAAAAATAAGTTTTTAAGTATATTAACACAACTGTTTACAGTGGTTTTCTTTTGATAGTGAGATTATGGTTGATTCTTATCTTCTTGTTTTTGCTTGTTAGTGTTTACTATTTTTTTCTTTAACATTGAAGATGCATAATGTATATAATACCTCTGATCTCTTTGTAGCAATTAAAGTTTGTTTGTTTTAAGTGTCACCAAATACAATAAGTGTAGAGGGTGTGTGATTAGAGTCTAATCTTGACTGACTGAATAACTTGAAAGATACTTGTGATTTATCTCAAAAGAAAGTATAGTCATATGCTCTTGAGTTTTTAAAAAATGTGGTAGAACCGGGAATTATACCTGGGGGTACTTCAGTGCTTTATGCAAAAAGAGGACAAATGTCTTTAGTAATAGAAGTCAATCCTCTTCCTCTGCATTATGACAGCAGAGAGAGAAACAGACCCATTTGGAAAGAAAAACAGCTTCCTGGCCTCAGTTTTCACATTTGTAATTAAATCAACCTCTTGAAGAGATTTAGTATCAATTGGGATGTGGTGATTGGGGGTATTTCTCTCTGAAACTTGCCTTAATAATTCCCAGTGTACCATTTGACCCAGCAATTCTACTCCCAGGAAGCTATTCTATAGATAAGCCCACTCATCCATCCACAAAATGCTTCTTGCATTGTTTGGAAGAAAGAAGTTTTGAAAACTCACAAAAATCACAGTGTCCATCTTAGAGAAATGGTTAAATGAATTATATTACAGCAATACTGTGGAATACTATACAGTCACTAAAAATAACTTCCTAGTAAAATCTCTCAAACACACTCTTAAGTTTCTAAAAATGCCAATTAGTGTGATATATCCCATTTAAGACAAAAATATATTTGTATATATTTGTATTTATATATTTATTTTTGTATATTTGTATATATTTTGTGTGTTTTTATAGAGAACCTAATATATCACTTTATATTTCAAATGCCTTAGGCACTATGTCACCAGAAATCCTATATTTCAATTTTGCTGGAGTTTTAAATAGTTGGCATAGACTTGTGTTTTTCTAAAACAATAAAACATATAAAAATCAAATAAATAATCCTAAGAATATATGCAGTGTCATATAATATCTGAAGTTTCTTATATATTCAGCATAATCAATAATTACTATGTTATAGAATTCTCATAAATATTCAGTGAGATTTTGTTCTTGTTGGATAAATTAGGTAACCCCAAAATTTAAGATTTGTAACCAGAGGATTTGTTCTTTGTGTTTGAAGAAATATGTTTCATTATGAAGAAATGTAATGGCTTTAATTGTAGGAAATGGATTAGCAGCAGCTATATTATGGGTATGTTTGCTTTTGTTTCCAGGAAGTTTTGACTGCCACTTTTCAATCTGGGGACTTATTGTCTTCTTGGGTTTGGCTCTCATTATATCGCTGATCTTCAATATTTCTCATTATGTGGAAAAGCAGCGACAAGGTAAGACATTGCAACAAGTTGCCATATAATATTTGCTTGAATCAAAACTTGTGAAGGCACAGAAAAACCTACAGAAGAAGATAATCCAATAGGATTTTTTATCTATAGAAAATCTGTTGATAAAATTTTACCCTGAGGGTTTTCTTCAATTAAGGGTGCAAACATATTAGAACTATTTTCAAGTGTCAAGATGTAACTTTATCAACTAGTTTAGTTGACCTTTTACCTGCATTAAGGTATAGAGTTAAAAATAATTTCCCTCAGTTAAATAGATATTTTTCCACCTCCAATTCAACAACCTATGGATGTTGCATTCTATTCTGGAGCAATCATAAAAGTTCTATCTGATTCATGATGAGAAAAGTAAAAACTAGCTCTTTAAGCTTTGCTTTAAGCTTACTCAAACTTCTCAGAATCATTTCAGGCCTCTTTAGTGCTGCAGGCTCTTTAGTACCCACAAGCAGAGTGGCAAAGCAATAGACTGAGACGTGGCTTTTGTGTTTGTAATCAAATACTGTGAGTGTCTAGCAGGGCAGCTCAAGAGAACTTGCCATTGTAGGCTTTTCTTTTTCTATAGGCTGGGCAAAGTTTTCAATCATCTGGCTGTCATCTGAGTATGCCATGGATGAAACAAGGTAATGCCCAGCCACTGGCACAAACTTTGCAAGCTGTAGCTATTCAATACCAAACCAAACCCACTGCCATTGAGTCAATTTCAAGTCACAGCAACACTATAAGACACAATAGAACTGCCCCACAGAGTTTCTAAGGCTTTCAATCTTTACGGAAGCAGACTACCTTATATTTCTCCCACAGAAAAGCTCATGAGTTTGAACCACTCACCTTTTGGTTAGTAGCCAAAGGCCTTAACCACTGCATCACCAGAGCCTTTCAGGTATTCAATACATTTATGGAAGGATGGGTTGATGGAGAAATGAAAATTCAAATATTTCTAGGTAGTGTTTTAGTATTAATAGAACCAATACACTGTTAGGGCCAGGATGTTTCAGTGGTGATAAAGGAACAGAAAAAAAAAAAGGATAAATGCATTTTCATTTAGCAGATGAAAACAAACTTGGCATGCTGTAACAAAGCTGTTAATTCAACATGTGTACAAGAAAAATTGCAAGAAACTAATTTAGAACAATGGTCATATTCTGAGAAATTTCCTTGATCCTCTTAGGAGTTTTCTTAAGTGTTGCTACCCAAGGAGGGGTCGCTATGAGTCGGGTTTGACTCGACGGCACATAACAACAACAACAACAATGTAAAATATGAAGAAGAAGCCATTACTATTATGCAGTTTTGGAAAAAAAAAGAAAGAAAGAAAGAAAGAAAGATGCTGGAAAATGAAGTAGCATGGCTTAGGTTACACATCTATTCAAAAGCAAAATCAAAAATAAGTACCTTGATTTTCTAATTCTCTGTCTAAAATAGTTTCTACCAATGCTTTGTTGACTAAATGTCCTCAGCCAGAAATAGAGATCTCTTAGGGCCTCTATTACATCAATTCTATGCCTAAATTGCCATTCCAGTCAAGAAACACTTTTTCATTAACAATGATTTCAGTTATTATTTTAAAATTCAAGTGTTTTCAAATACCTAAATATAGCCAACTTTATATGTCAGATATATAAATGACCCATCATCAGACATCTGCAAAATTTCCTTTGTTTATGGAAAAAAGCTAAGAGGAGATGTTTACTTTATGCAATAGTTTATAGTGAACATATTTTAATTTCTTCAATAAAGTATTTTCACCTTGTTTAGAAAGAGCTGAATTGAGACCTACACCCACTAAAACCTACTGCCATCTGGTCGATTCTGACTCATTGCCACCCACCAGGACAGAACAAAACCGCCCATAGGGTTTCCAAAGCTGTAAATCTTACAGAAGCAGACTACTTCATCCTTCTCCCACTGAGTGACTGGTAGGTTTGAACTGTCAACCTTTTGGTTAGCAGCCAAATGCTTTAACCACTGTGCCACTACAGCTCGTTTGAACTGAGATCTAGAGAGGTGAAATAACTAAAGGTGGAAACTAATCTTCTGTACTATGACCTCATTCTTACATTAATTCTAATGGAAATCCTTTGAAGACTTTCTAAGTGCCAGATAATAAGTGGGTTGATATGTTTAACTTGAGCCCAACTGTCTATCAAATAGCATATAGCAAATGTGGCTTATTTACTTTAAATCTAAATAGTCTTTTTTTCCTCCCCCAGTTCTATGGTTGCATTGAATTTTGTTGAATATGAACTCTAGAACCAATTTCTATCAACATGTTCAAGATCTGGACTGGTCTAATTTTACTGACCTATTACTTCTGCACAGAGCTCTGGTAGCATAGTGCCTAAGGCACTTGACTGCTAACCTGAAGGCTGGCTGTTCAAACCCACCAGCCACTCCTCGGAAGGAAGATGGGGCAATCTACTCCGTGTGATATTGCCTCGGAAACCCAAGGAGGGGTCGCTATGAGTCGGGGCCGACTCAACAGCAAATAACAACAACAACATTACTTCTGCCAGGAGCCCTGGTGATGCAGTGGTTAAAGAGCTCAGCTGCTGACCAAAAGGCTGGCAATGTGAACCCACTAGCTGCTCTTTGGGAGAAAGATGGGGCAGTCTACTTCCTTAAAAATTACAACCTTGGTAACTCTATGGGGCAGTCGTACCTTGTTCTATAGGTCCTATAGGGTCTTTATGATTCAGAATCAACTTGATGGCAATGAATTTGGTTTTTTGGTTTTATTTCTTCTGCTACAGATGTTTGGCTGGACTAGTTCTTACACTTAATATGAATATATTCCCAAATTCTCATTTTGGTAGTTTGTGCATTAGATTTATTCAGCCATATCCATAGCATCCACATTACCATACAAACTCCCTCAGGGACTTGTTTGCTAAGTTGACCACTTCTCTAACACAGTAGCCTAACTAAAAGGAAGGCTGTGCCTTTTCTTTCAGAACAGATTTCTCTTTTCCTTTTCAACAATATAAATTCTTACTGCCTCAGGCATGCTATAAATTATCCTATTGCCTGGAAGCAATGTGGTGGGGAAGAGCATTTCTAAACAACAGGAAAAAATTAAAATTATTGATGTATTTTTTAATAGTGAATTTCAGTTTCTTTAATTATTTTTAACAGCATGTCTTTTGAAGTCAACTCGTGTGATGAAATCTCTGCTTTCCATATTTCGCTGGGAGACCTGTATAAGTAACAGAACTTTTCATAGTCTCAGTTTCCTTATCTACATATTGTGGGAAATACTATCTGCATCACATGGTTCTTGTGAGAATTATATAAAAACCTAGGGCAGTGCTGGGGACTTTGGAGGTCCATTTTGGGCCTGGTACATCCCACATAACCATAACTGATGGCCCAAACTTCCTTCCCACTTCCCACAAATATTTATTAAGGAGGATCTACAATTGTTACATGTTATCCTTATTTTACTTTTTTTTTAAATTGTGATTTGGGTGCAAATTTATCAAGCAGATTTGTTTTACTCTCCTCAGTTCGTGCACATTTAATTTCATGGCCCTGCTGACAATCCCCCCCATTAAAAGCTCTCCTCCTCTCTCCTCTCTGTGACTACCCCCTCCCTGTGCCCTTCTTCTCTATACATTCTTAATCATAATGACTGTTATTTCAATGAACTTTATTTCTTCTGTCTTTCTCACCTCTCCCACTATTCCCAAATACTCCATTCCTTTCCAGCCCCCACCTCAACTCCTTCTCCTATTTCCATCTCTGTATTATTGTTATCTTATTGTTGCTGCTGTTGATAATATAGACAGCAAAACACGCACTACTTCAACCGTTTCTACATGTACAATATAATGACTTTGATTACATTTGCCAACTTGTGCAACCATTCTCACCCTCCTTTTCTGAGTTGTTCCTCCCTCTTTAAGGTAAACTCTCTGCCTCCTGAGGTTTTTATATAATCATTTGAATGTCTGTTGTCAATTTGATTCTCTGTAGGTAGTTAAAAGAGCATAAAGCTCAAAGCAAACTTTTTTCTTTTTTTTAAATAGGTAAAAGCTGAACTACTGTTTGGTTTTAAGAAGAATTCAGGGGATATTTTTGGTTTAGGGTTTAAAGATTATCTCAGGGCGATAGTTTCAGGGGCTCATGCAGCCTCCACCATATCTAGATTGTATGAAAAGTCTGTCCAATAACCTGAATTTAGTAATGATTTGTTCATTTAGGTCATATCGGGGTCCATTTCAGAGAGTTTCGGTAGGCTTTTGAGGAATTAATTGTAAACATTAGTCTATCACGAATCATTTTATTTGAGCAGTAATATGTCCCTCAGTGAAGCACACATCTGGGTCTTGAAGTTTATCAGAATCCCTGGGTGGTGAGAATGGTTAAGTACTCAACTACTAGATGAAAGTTTGGCAGTTCGAATCCACCCAGAGGTACCTTAGAAGTAAGACCTAGTGATCTGCTTCCAGAAGATCAGTTTTGAAAACACTGCAGAGCAGTTCCACACGTCACAGTGGATTTGCCAAGAGTCAGTTTGACTTGACAGTGACTAAGAACAAGAACCACTGTAAGCCTCGCAGCAGCATTCATGGATGCTCTGATAACGCCTGTAGGTCTCATCCCTCCCCCTCTTCCTCTCTGCAGCCCTTTCCCAACCACCCCAACTTCTTCCAACAGTTTTGTCCAAGTATTAGCAATAACCCTGACAGCTTTTCCATTCCATATATGCAAATAACAGCATCTTCCTTTCTCACCCAGAGGTACCAGGTCGATTTGAGATGATCTCTGCAGACTGTTTAACTGTTTCATGGTTCTCCCAACGCCTCCTCCTTGCCTTATTTTTCTTGGACAGACAAACTAGAGGAGATTCCATCTCATTCAGCAGCTTTTCTGCCACTTGGGTTTCCCCTTTATCTTGCTGCATGCAGCTTCTAGTTTTGCATCTTGGTGCTGCTCTTTGTGGCTAAGAAACTTGCAAGATATGACTCCACCTTAGCGAACAATCA